CGAATACAATAAGAATTAAAACTTAAAAGATTTTATTCGCAAGGTACAAGCGCGTTAATCAAAGCAGTAAGAGGCTCTTCAATTTAAATTTATTTTTATAATAATTTAAATCTCGACAATGGTCCAATAAAATAATTATTCCAATAATTATAATTTCCACAATGAAAACGTTGATATCATATTAATGACAAATATTGTTTATTTCGCTCTTGTTTGGTTTTGTGCTCTTTTATGCAGGAAGAACTCATATTCACATTCTAATTGACTGTAATTTGTGCTGCGATGCACGCGCCCACCATAATTTGCGTTTATCCAACATTCAGATCTCATTTAACGTTATCACGAGCTGTGAAAAACAAATCAGCTAGGTACGCGATATGAGTCTAGATAAAGAAATCTATTGCACGATCACTGATACTTTTCCGTGGAGAGCATCGGATTAATTAGTATGCGACCATTAGCACGAAGCAACGGGACACGTAGACAAACCGCGTGCCTTCCAGTCGATCCCGCGAGAGCCGCAGACCAGCAATCGAAACGAAAATTCCCCACGCAGACGAGGAATCTGTAGCGTACACGTGGAATCTGCGCGAATGACGTTTCATCCGCAAGATCTTTCCGAGACCAGCGATATGTTGTCGAAACGTTGTCAAAGTCATTACGATTTATTCGCACCGTGGACAGTAAACACATTTATCGCAGGTACTCCACTTCGCAAGCTTTGCATATTCATCAATTAATACTGCAAATGCGACTATTTGGTGCAATTTAATACGGCGACGCAATTTCTTTAGTTCACTCGTACGTTAATGCGAATTTTTATGAAAATTCTTGATGAGCTATTAATAAATATTAATCTTAGTTCTCATTAGCCTAACAGTGTAAATAATTATCGCTAACTGTGCTAAGCTGCTGTAGAAACTATTATTAAAAAAATCTATAAAAATATGAAATATTATAAATATCACAGTACTATAAAAAAAGATATTCTTTCATGAGAAAAATATGCGTTAACGTAAAGAAAGTTAACGTAACTCTAAGATAAATATCACGAGCGTTCTGCTTGTGAGAATTAATCTTAAATCTTCATCATCGTAAACAATAGCGCAACGTAAATAATACAATAGGAAAAGTACTCGCGCGAGAAACGTGCACTTACACGATCGCAACACGATAAAAATACCAACACTGTTGTTGACTTCCTATTAATATAAATGACAGAGCATAACAAAAATTGTGCTGTAAGAGACTTTCTTTAGCGACTACATTTACATTGACATACATTTAGGATGAAGATCACGAATATTCCGTTTGCTAGAATTAATTTTAAGCAACATTTTCATCAACATAATTATGTAGGTTATATTTTAAAAAAAAAATATCAAGAAATGCACATTTGTGTGGTTTTAAGAATCATTAACACTCTGTTTACCAGAAACAATCGCGCCGATTGTAAGCGACTGGCACGATAAGCGATATTGCGAGCAAAATTTCCTTTTGCAAGGAACGCATATGCATCGATGCGATTCCGGAGTAACGCGCCGGGATGTTTACGATACGAGCGGAAGGGATCACTGTCGCACAGCGCGAGTTGTTCTACATACCTCGTGTACCCGGTCGACGATAAGCCGTACTCAGCTCTTCTCCATCGTCACACGCGTCCCGGTCTGCTTAGCGCAGCAGCGTCCTGTCTGCCGTGGCAGCGTCGCCGTGGTGTTCGTTCCGCGCGTCAGTGAAATGGCGATGATACGTCGCGACGCGCGAGCGAACGGTGACTGTCGACGACTCTTCGCGGCCGCTGCTCGTGAAACGTAGTGGTGTCGTATGGCACTGCGCTCGCATGGATGCTGGGATCCTGGGGCCGAATCGTGTATGCACTCACGAACGATTTATCATGCAAACGCCGGCGACTCGCGCCGAGAGAAGCGCGCACGGAGCGAAAACGCACGCGGTGCAGACGGTGTAGATATCGCAGACAACTGATTCGACCATCCCAATTGGCGGTGACTCATTATTACTGCGAGACGATTAACCAATAGCGAGCTTCGAATACAGCGACTCTCATTGCATTCGGAGTTTAATATCTTGTGAATTGCGATCGAGAAATTTAGCATGATTTTTTTCAAGGTAAATGAAAGAAGTATACAACATAGTTTTATTATCTATTTAAAAAAAAAAAAAGGAAACTTTCAAAATTTGACTTATTGAGGTTTTAGTTTTTGACAACAAACACTGAAATGTTTTCAAGATCTTATTTAATTATCAGGTTTTTTTGACACTTAACCTTTATGCGCTCGCATGTCAGTAACGTGTTGATCGTAATCGAGAATGCAAATTGTTTCTTTCAAATGTAAATAAAAAACACACGTACAATTTTGTTATCTATTTACAAGATTTTTACTGTTTAATTAACTTTACGATTTAATTTACTATTAATAACTTTTAATTTTCGACAAATAAACTCCGAAATGTTTTCAAGCTCTCATGTAGTTATACAATGAAATCAATAATAATCAACTATATCTTAATAAAGATACATTGCATTTATCTGTTTAATATTAAATATTTTCTATTATATATTTGTAATCTTGTCGAAATATAATGGCCAAATATATTCAAGTAAATGAAGAAATGAGACAAGAAAACGAATGAGAATCCCTGCCGCACCGGCAGGAATTTTTCGTCGTGCACCGCCTACAGTTGGCGGCGCTGTAGTCTCGCGGGGCAAGGCTCGACGGGCGACGGCTGCTCAGTCTAGGATCTCGGTTGCATCGTGTCGGTTCACGGAGCTCGTGTATAATCACAATCATATAGGAGAGAGCCAGCGCGCACCCGCCGCTCTCTCCACCGCCCATCGGCATCGACGGTGTTAGCTCCGCTTCTCGGTCGTCGTCATTGTGTCCAAGTCGGAGCCGACGACTGGTTCGCGAGTGTCGACGGGAAAAGGTATGTTGATCGTGCGTCACATCGACCGCGTTTAGAGTCGTTGCGCGAAAAGAAACGAGACGAGAGAACGAACGGCCGGAAGTAGGAAACCCGTCGACGGCGGACGTGCGCTTTTATTCCTCCCTCCTACTATCGTTCTCTCCCTGTCTCTCCCTCTCGTGCTCGCTTGCGCTCTCTCTGTCTCCCCCCTCACTCCCCCCGCGCGTGCTCTCGCGCGTTCTCTCTTCTGTCTCGCGTCGTTCTCTCGTCGACGGCCGTCGGGGCCGCGCCGTGCACAAGCCTAGAAATCGTCGCGAGCCGCGCCTCCTGGAGTCCGCCGCCGCCAAAAACGGCCGTAGTTAGTGAATAGTGATGTGTATTGCAGTGCTGTGCCCGGTCGTCGTCGTGGCTATCTGTCGTGCCGAGAACAGCCTACTAAGCGCCTGTGTCTGTGACTGTGACCGTGACTGCCGTGCCGTTACCACCGTGCTGCTTCGTCGGAGCTGCCGTTGCCGCTGCCGTTGCGATGCATCTCGCCGATGTTGCCTCCGCTTGCAGGATGCTGTAAGTAATTTACAATTTCACTCACTTCCTCTCTCTCTCTTTCTCTCTCTCTCTCTCTCTCTCTCTCTCTCTCCCTGTAATCGGTTTACTTAGAAATAATATTGCCTAAAAATACATCGCAATTTGGATCCGACGGCGCTGAAATATCACTTAATTTAGCATTATTTTTTGGCAAATCTTGGAATCTCGGCAGATCTTAATGAGAATTTCTGTTTAGCACGGGTTTTTTACCCCGATTATTTACATCGGAGTCTCGCATTCCAATTGGCTTTTTTTCTCTCAGATTTGTTCGCGCGATATACTTGCAACTATAATTCTTACTTGTCTGCTTCTCTCCCCCCGCGCGTATATTAATACTTTTCGCCGCAGTCGAATCGCTATGGCGCACTTCCGCGGAACGGATGCGGAAAAGCAAAAGCGAAACACGAAACGACGAATCGTGCCATGAGATCGTTTACACTTCCAGTAACAGCGAGAGAATTCTGCTGATTTTTTGTCTATCGATTCCTCGACACGTACGTGGCCGCCGACGTAGTCCTTCGCCGCCCGACGGTCGGCGCTTCGCGTTCCGTCGCGACGCAAACGACGCTCGAAGAACGCAAATATGACCGAATCCAAACCTTGAAAGTCCCATTTCCGAGATATCGAACCAATTTTCCCTTCACATACCGAAAATCCTCGGAAAATATATACAGCCAGACGCTTAACGACAAATAAAAATTGAAAATTTGGCATCTTTGAAAATATTGATTTTAGAAAAACTGTTTCCAGTTGAACAACCATTAAAAAGTAAATAATGTGCATTAATGCGTTCTTGTCATTTTTTGAAAATGACATTTATGGCAAAGCAATTTTGGAGAATCTTAAATGATTTTCAATTACCTTTTTTGAAAAAATTTTAGAACTTTAAAACTTCTTAAAATTGACTGTTTCAATTCGATGATTCGTGACGTATTTAAAATATTTTTATTCCATATAATTGAACAGAATTTCGGAATATTGTCGAAGTAGAAACATAAGTATGTCGCGTAACAGTTGTCACGAAAGAAACGCAGCGAAACTGGCAAGAACGTCGCCGAGATACGATTGATCGTATCACAGATACGCGCACAGCGAAGATAGATGAGCCGTTGGGTGGAACAGCGCTATGAGTCATGTTTTCTTCACTTTGAGAAACGAAAGTAGCAAAGTAGCAAAACTTTGCGAGCTTTCGAAATAACGAAAGATACCTACAACGTTATCTCGCGATGATAGCGAAATAATTATAAACAGTGCACGATTTTATCTAGATTCAAGCTCAATTATTTCCCTTTTGATTTATTTATTTTCACGGAAATAAACCTTTATGATAGGTTCGTTTAGTGCGGCTATACAATCCTTCTCGGTTGGGTTCCTTGTTTCGCTTTCACTACAAAATGAGCATTTATTTCTATGAATGAGCTATTGAAGGATACCAGCGGCGAGTTTTGTGAACTGTTACCATTGAGTAAAGTAAAGTACGGTTTTTCGGCGTACGGTTTCGCTGTGGATAACTCTATGCCCTCTGGAGGGCCTCGAACACTAACATGGCGGTTCGTTTTAATCATGGATTGCGGGTGCCGGTCTTTTCCGCTGTAAATTTGCCGAATTGACGCTTCAATATATACATCTTATTGTTAGACGTATTGTATATCGTTAATCTTTGATCAAAGCTCACTTGAAACGATCTTTGATCAAAGCTCACGATCCATAATTTGCGACAGAATTTGAAATAAAATTTTATTTACAATTTCATCTGCTGTGTAATACAGAAAATATTTGAACGATCAGAATATACACGCATATGAAATATATTTCAGTGATATGTTTTTGTATGTGTATACTCTAATTCTTGAAATATTTCCTTTATATAAAATTATAAATAGATTACTTAACGTCTGTCGGGAATTTCAGATCGTCTGACCAGTACACAACTCTCATCATAACACTTTGAAAGATCAAAACACCATATCAGATGAATGATTTATTATTTACAACTCTAAATCATTTCGAAGACACATCAGTGGAAATACCATTGTACCTGAAAATCTTATAAGATACGAGCCAGACACATAGAATTTAGAAGCTTTTATAATTTATTATTTCATATAACAATAAATTGAATGAGTCATAATTTATAAATCACATTATCCGAGCCATTTGGAAAAAGGCATATATGAAAATTGTTATAAACTTCTATATATGGAGTTTACCTCGAAAGATGGTAAAGGGTTAAAAAGCGAATCAGGACGCACGCGATGCGCGCTCGCTTCGTGAGTTCACGTACTCGTCAACACGTTTTACACGTTATACACGACGTTACGAGGGACGGTAACCAATCTTGCCGGCCGAGCAAGACTTCTCAAAGCCCTCTCGCTGGAAAAGAAAAAAAAAGTAGGTTTCGTGCCGGCGTCAAATTCAGTCCTTTCCTACCACGTTTTTTTAGCGCGACGAGTTATTGCTGTACGTTTGAGTCTTTAGCAGAACCGTGGTGTATATATAACATTTATTTCATTTAAAAAATTGAAAAAGTAAAAAAAAAATAAAAAAATCGAAAAACAGCGTTTGTAAAAAATTTTAATAAAATCCAGGTATTTTTACAGTGTATTGTACCAGGTATTTTTACAGTGTTTATGGTCTTCTGCAAAAAAAAATGTAAAATTTTATATGATGATGAAATAATTTGTCACAAAAGCTGATATATATTTCAATTACTACTAACATGTCTGTTAATCTAAAATTCAATATAATTTTATAAAAACAAGATTGAAAATTCGATGACATTTTAAATTAGCTGTATGCCAAATAGAACGGCGACATAAATAATAGAAATAAACATTTATTAAGAAGGAGAGCCCGGAGCTATATGGAAAGTAGACGAGATGACATATAAAATACATCAAAATCGCGAATTAATTACAGAAATTTGCGGCGCGAGAAGTAGTTACACATATTAAATTTGAAAGCTGCAAGAAGTTCTGGCTAATGAAGCTCTAACTTTCCCGCTAAATACGAGACATTTCTCTCGGGAGTTTCGAAGCTGATGTAAGTCGAGTTTTCAAACACTACGAATTTCGATCAGAAGCCGCGATATCGATTTTAGGAGGCTTTTCGAAAGTACATCCACTTGTGACATGAACGACGACATATTATGAAAGAGCACGAAAGTATGTGACGCGGCACGACATGACGTCATACACGGGGATACATGGGGATGATGTCTGAAATTGAAGTACGAGAACGGATCCGGAATGGATCTCTCTCGCGAGGTGTCGACGATAGAGAGAACGATGCTGACGACGTCGACGTCGACGTCGCCGCTGCAAGTAGGTCAACTGGACTCGCACGCGCGGCAGAAGCATAAGGCGATGTTTGCGACCGCGAGACCGTTTCACTGTTGTAAGCGCAGCTAACGGAGGCGATTTCGCCTTGGTGCAGTGCTGCGTTTCACCGACCTCCCGATCTGATTAGATAGAGCTCGAATCCCGCGAGGTATCGAGGATCAAACACTGATTGCGTAATATTTGCGCTTTATACCTTTTTTTTAACCGCTGCAACGCAAACGCAATTAAAAGATAAATCCGCAGCCGGATGTAAATGAAGTACAAACGAGCTGGTTTTTAATTTATTAGAACTTTTTATTCTCCGCGCTAATATTTTTCAATTTGCAGTAATAGTCTTCAATTTTATACGTACCGAAATTCACCAGCGTTTTATTATCTCTCAGGTATGCGCATCGACGTCACTCGGTAAACCTGTAGTTGCGAACGGTGATTTTTCAATAACAATTGCGGTGGTTATTCGTTACGTGGGGATAGATGTAATTGCGGAGCTATTGTCGCCTACTTGTCGCACATCACTGCGATTGTTTTATATATGTAGACACGTATATTACCATAATTATCTTGAATAACATTGTTTGACTATCATATTCTGTATCTTTGGAAGAAGATATTTTTATTGGAGAATAATTCTCGCGTCAAGGAATTCCAAATTTAACGCCATTTTATGAATAGCTTCTATATTTTAGTCAGACAATAATAATTCGTGATAGATTCAGATTCGCGATAAATAATGATGAAATACAAATAAATAAACATATCAACAAGTGCAAGCACTGTAATGCGGAATAAACAGAATTAATTATGCACGCTTGGATTACGTTTACATTACCATGGAAATACGTCGATCGATCGTAGGAGTCGAGGCAAGTAAGAGCCGAGAATGTAGTTGGCAAGAATCGGGAAAACCCATAAGGAACGCGCAAGAAAGTTATGGCTCTCCCGAACTTTTCTAAATAGGGTTTCAGTTTCATCGAGATTTATTACCTTCCTTCGGGCGCGCATCTACAAGTTCTGTTAACAACAAGCAAAAGAAAAATGTGGATTTCCATAGATTTTGCAGGCAAGTTTGAAGTATGAATATAAATTAGCGTATATACTTATTACATGAATTGAGTGTTAATTTATTAATATATGAATTCTTATTTTAACAGATAATATTTACTCATTAAAGCTTTGATCAACATTTTACAGTCAAGTTTTTCAGAATCTTGATTTAAAAAAGACAAAAGGAAAAAAGATAAAAAAGAATTGCGTGAATATATTATGAAAATCACAAATTAAAATTACCTATTGTAATTAAAACAGCAAAATGCAATATTAAATTAAATTTATTTATGCAAAATTATCGCATATATTATTAATATATTAATATCATATTACTTACTAATACTAATTATTATGTAACGCATATTACGGAGTTAGCGCATATAAATTTCTGATCAACGATTCACCTCTCGCTGCTTTGTTTGCCGATAATTTCAAAAAAGCAACTTAACGTGCTGCAACGAAAGAATTAATTATAACACTTTGTATATTACGTAATCACGAATAAACAAATGCGTTCTGCGTACTGCTGTAATCGAGAATAAATAAATAATTTTCGACAACATTGTTATCGTCGTAGATAACGATGACTTAGCACAGTCCAAAATAATCTGCGATTAAACGTGAACCGGTTGATAGTATAACAAAATTACTTTAGTACCGAGATAATTTTATTTCAAGGATTGTCAATATTTTCTTAGCAGCTCGTTTTTCCTCAAATAATATCGATAAGTCTGGCGATCCGTCGATTGCTTTTTCAAGTACGATATAAATTTAAAAAGCTTCTTTCACCGAAGAAAGATATGTGTCAGAAGTAGAAATTGAAGCCGATATAATCTCTGCTAATAACTTTCATATTCAATACTGCAAATATGTGCAAAAAAAATGTATCTCATGCCAATTGATTATTGCTATTATAAATATTATTATGCAACTTAAATATTATTACCTTACATTCGTAGCACATTTTAATCATTTAAAAACGATGTCTACAGAAATAACAGTTGATAGCGAATTAATATGATTTTTTTTATTATACAAAATATATAAAATTACATCAATTGGTTATTATTGTTATCGCGACCATGTTTAATTAACGTTTTTCAATCATTAAAGTAATGAAAAAGACCGGCAAATATGTTATATTAATATTAAGATTATTGCAGATATAAATATTCTATCATACATAGATTCTCATTATTGACTTGCTTTTACCAATAGTATTTGATTGTATCCGGTCGATTGGCTAGCGCCAATTAGAATTTTCCGGATGTAGAAGGAAAGAAAAGGCGAGATAAATGCCATCCGTTGTGGACTTTACCATCTCGGAATGCCACGTTTCAGCATTCCCGGTGAACATTGTGCAATTAGAACGACGACTGAATTTATAAATATTCGACTGTTGATTTAATCTGGTTACGCTGTGAGATAAAAAACATTCTATGAACGGAATTTACAAATCTGAAGTAACTCATTGATAAATTGTGAATGTTCTACAAATTACAGGTTAATAGAAATAAGAGGATAAAAAATGATATTATTTTCCGACTCATTAATATAAAGTATAATAAATTTTATTTTTGTTATTATAAGCAATTAGAAAGAGGAGGTATTAGTAATTATAAAGAGGTAATTATCGCCAAATTATGTTCACTCCTCTATAGGAAATTATGTGCATGGTAATTTTCTAACGGGCAAAATTATGCGCATAGCAACTTTCTAATTAAAATTATAGCGATTCATGGAACACATTAACTATCACAAATCTAATATCATCGCGTTTAGCCATGTGTGTGTAATAAGGTAATATTTATCAGTCTAAAAAATTATCAGTGATAAAGTAAAAAATATCCATGTTGCTATCTCTATCTGCCTGAAGTATATTAATCTTTGTTACTGCTTCTGTTGCAACTTTTATCATTCAAAGGTAAATTGAAAAGTGCTCAATACCTATCATTTTCTATTCAAGAACCGTGGGTGACAAAAGTTGCAACAGAAGCAGTAGTAAAAGAATAGAAGAATAGAATAGAAGAATTGATAATGCTTTAAAAGGATAGAGATAGCGACGTCAATATTTTCTAATTTATTATCGCGATATCTTTTAGATTTATAAACATTACACATGGCTAAACGCGATGATATTAGATTTGTGATGCTAATGCGTTCTATAGTTCACTAAAATTTTAATTACAAAATTACAATTATGTTATATTGATAAAATATTGATATCCGGAATTGTTAAGTTTTACAGAGAGAGAGACACGTATATCGATATCTAAGAAAATTTTCTATTTGCCGTCTTTGTACAAATATTCTTGAATAATTATGCATGTGCATGGACGAATGCAGATAAGATTCTCGCTGGCGTCCTTGTCGCGTTGCGTCGATGCAATGCACTCGAAAGTGACGTCACGATGACTTTAGATCGTTTAGGAATTTCCTCTCTATTGGCGACGAGAGATCGGCAAGACCTCGCATGGTTCCCGATCGTCGTACCGGAATTTCCACTTTTTCACCTGTTGAAAATTCCAGCCGATTCCCTCGGAGTTTCGATAGAGACGGCGCTTTGCGTAGTGGCGTCCAAGTTCTATTTCCAGGTTCCCTGACGACGACGCGCCGCGACGCCGCGTTTCCCGAGTTTCCGGCGCCAGCGTCGATGTGCGTGACGCTCGATATTTTAAGTTCCACCCAGGACGCGGAGCGCTCTCTTCCACGACTGGGTTTCTCTCTCTTTTTCTCTCTTTCACTCCGCCACTCTATTTCCCTTCTGCCCTTCTTCGTAATGTTTTACGTCCTACTTAATGTTGTCACTTAATTCCAGAAATCCACATAACGGGCCTTTAACAGATTTTTCCTTTTTGCAGCTTCTTATTTTGTTGAAATTGTCGGAGGTATTTCGTGTGCTTTTTACAATTAAAATTCTTTTCACTTTAATTAATACATTTCGACGATTGGACGATTGTATGTTCTAGTATCTTCTCATTTCCTTTCTTAAATTACGTAATGCAGTTTTAGAGATTTCATCGATAGGTTTTTGAGTTATAAAATTGTAAGGAAAAAAGTTTATTACAAATAATTATTACTTTATGCAATTATTTCTATTTTTGTTATTTATTGTTGTATTAATCTGCATTTTTTTATTTGTAGATATCTTATAAATAAAATGTTAAACTTTTTCTTCTAGCTTTAACATAATTTTTCTCTTTTATACAGTGATCTAAAGAATCTATTTATCTTGGAACATGTAAAAAACATGTCTCTATTCTATTCTGTACTATTCTGTTCTACTTTTACCAGTTGAAAAAGGTTTTCTTTTGACACTGGTCAGGCGAGATTCGTTGTCTCGAAATCGACGTTAGCTTGAGCCTCGGCGAAGGCAAACATCTTTCTCCCTGCCCTCTTCTTCCTTCTCTCTTTTCTTCCACCTTCTTTATTCTCGGCCCTCGCCGAATCCGGCTCTCGCCGGATCTTCATGCGACTATCGAACTTCCGCGTGACTAGCTAAGCGAGCGCCCTGAGGCCGCTTGATGCGGTTTCTCAAGTCATTACAATGTGAATTTTGCAAACTGCGCTTGATACATGATTGTCACGAGGTCACTAGAGCTGCACGTGTCTTGCATTCTATTTAGCTAATAACTGATAACTAGTTTACAAATAAGAAAATATAAAAATTGCCTCTTTACATAATCGCTGGAAGTGATCGAGAGAAAATGTAGGATTAAATAAAAACAGTGTAGTTAAATAAAAACTTTGAATCTTAAAGGCAAAACATATTTTCCACTCGCTCTGTTTTAGTTAATCTTTTAAGATATTCTTATAAATTATTTTGTATGCCTTACTTACATGCATGATAGATATTTTACACTTTTGGCATCTTTAAATCAGAAATACACATATATCAAAATTTTTCTTATTTTTTATTAACATTTTTTTTCTTTTATATCTTTCTTTCTTGACATAGTAATTTTTTATTTTATTTTAGCGACGTAAATATTTATGTATCTTTAGATGTTACTTCTATACATCTTTCCTTCTTCGTTTCTGAAAATCATACAAAAATATTATTTATTTGGAAACTCAACTGTGTATTCATAAATCATCACGGATGGAAAACATTAATATTAATATTTTCCTCAACATTGTGGTTTTATTCTGACTTCAATGTTTTGTTTGTTTTAGAACTAAATGATGACGCTAAGGAATTCTACGGGTAAGGATGAGGGGAAGAACACCCTCTGCCGACGACACCCCGAAGAGGGCCCCACCGGCACCGGCAAGCAGAGGTGAGTATTTCAATATTTTAATAAAAAATTCCGATATTATAATTTCATAAAATACAATAATATCGCGATAACGAGCAACACGTGCAAAAGAATATCAAATAATTCATAGGTTCAAAAATTATGAAACCTGTTTTTCGCAACAAACAGGTATAGAAAATGCTTGCTCGTTGGTCAGTTGAAGAATTGCAATTAGTGCCGAGTCAGCGATGATGATTCTGATATATATATATATATATATACTTATACAGTGTCATGTTTCCACTGCGTTTTTCATTAACGCGTTTATACCCTTTTTTGTCAAATATTTGTTGATAAATTGATCAGGGAGATATTTAATATATTGAATTAAATTAGTCTAAAAAGATAATGAGACCTTACATCTTACTTTTAAATTAATTCTAAATAAATAATTCTAGAAATCTTCATTCAAGAAATCTCATTCGAGTTTGTCAAGATATTTAACATCAAGAGTTAAAAAATGACAACATATGTATGATGATTTTCTGTTTAAAGTATATTTATATAATAATTTTTTCACATACAATTTTTATAACGTACATAAGAAATTCCTATTAAATTTTTATTAGGAATAAATCGATTTTAAATTCATTTAAAAACATAAATGTCACCCGCGAAGAAAGTGAGAATATTGTTCTCAACACTTTAGACTTTATAATTTATTATTTTTTTTGAAAAAAGAGAGAAAATGCTAAGTAAATTCAAGAAGATCTTTTTGTTGAAAAAAATTACAGACACTTCATAAATCAAAAAGACAATTCTTTAAAAGAACTTTATCCTTCGCATAAAATGCATGATTCAGTCGTCGACCCCTATGTAGATGACTATAAATTCGAATACGACTGTCCAATCGTGATGGCGTAACGATTGTTCCCAAGGCTACAACATTTATATTTGCATTTTGTGAAATAAAATGATGAATGCCCCAAAAAAAATAATTTTTTGCAAAGTTTGAGAAATGTAGATAATTTTCAAGACAAATTTCAGATAACTTTATGAATAAATATAAATTTAATTGAATGAAAGCTTGGGAAAACTTTAGCACGAGTCACTTTATTCTGCGAATACATTAGAATTTGTTTTCTTAATTAACACGCGATAGAGATGTATCAAGCTAATTTCGGACTTCGTTGCCTTATCATTACCGTCTACCTGTCCGGCACACGGTATACGTAATACGACGACCGTATGTCTGACAATCAACGCGACGGCCGTGATCGGGTCCCCCCGTGCGCCTACACACACGCGCGTATATTCTCGCGCTCGGTGCATTACGCAACGGTGCGTCCGTCATCCACGGACTTGCGGCAGTTATATGTATACAAACATACGGAGGATTTTGAAAGTAGTCACGCTGGTCGAGATCGTAATCGCGCCGACGTCGTCAGCGACGGCGGCGGTGGCAATGCTGCGGCTAAATGATTATCGAACTTGCTCGGATGCAACGACGGCGCCGGTGATCCCGCCTCTACAAAAGATCCGGCAGAATAGTATGTACGTAATCCGTGAGGCCTATTTTAGACCTCTTCACTTCAAACAGAATTAACTCGCATCTCTTTGCACGAAATTCTTTAAAATCCTCTTAAAATCTTTTCGGATTATTCGATGGTTTTTTAGTTCTCTGAGGTACAACTTTACTCACTCGACTTAGAATGTGATATAAGAACAATGTATTCAGCTTTAGGAAAGTATTCTCGCGAGAGGAGAAACATTTTCCGCGAAATTTTCCCAAAAGTGTGTTTCCTATTAGGGTGAAATTTCTCAGAAAATTCTCCTGGGATTATTTCTGGAAATTACTCCTGGGATTATTCCCGGAAGTAGAAAATTTCCTCGGAAATTATGTCTAGATAAAATTTTTCCATTTTTCGCAAAATTTGCGATGACATAATTTGCTAAGGAAAATTTTATTCTATGAAGACAAATAATTTTTAAATCGAATAAAATGAAAAATAAACGGTGAGATATTATACTATATTATTACTATAAAATTGAGCAAATGGCGAAAAATATGTCCATAAATTATTTTCTTCTCTGATCTTTATGACAATATAATGAGCTTTTATGTTACTTTATTTATTAATCTTCCTGCTATTAAACTTTGTAATAAAATTATCTCATAGCCGTATGTTTGTGACGTATTTTAATATCATGGCGACTTTTACTGTCGCCTGGTGGATTATTCACATATATATATATACTTCATTACATGAGATGACGGCGAAAATTACTCACTTGAGATTAAAATATGACGGAGTGAAAAATTATTCCGGAATAATCTCTTTATTTTCCCTTGATAATAGGAGGAGTACGTAATATTGTTCATTAAGAAAATGTGCAACTTTTTTTCTGGCAATGTTTTGTGGTGGAATTTAAACCGTGTTTTTATATCGAGTGGCTTTTCAAAGATTCCCGGAATTTCTCGCAATTGCACATTCCTGATGGGATCGATTTTCCCACAATTCTAATGATGACGAGATCCCACCGGATTTATGTGCCATATAAAATGTAAAGTGTGTATAAAACGCGAGAAGGAAACTTGGAAAACGATGAGCGAGAAATTGATCGATATTACGATATTAGATGCGCATGACGGCACATTGATATTGTTAATAACTGAACGGGCAAACTCTTAATTACACTGCTAACAACGTAAAACGAAACCGGATGGTCGCAAGGATTGTCGTCGGGTATTGCTAAGCCGGCCAGGTTTTACCACCTTGGGGCTGTTGTCAGGGGCTGCGGTGGATGTCTGCGTGTGTATACGCGTGTGTATGTCCGTCTCTCTTTCTCTCCCTTTCAAAGCACACACTACTCGTACAGCCGTAACCCCTTTCGACGTGGCGGAGGGACGGTTATCGATTCTCGCAGCCTCCCTTCTCCCCGACTTCCGGATAAAAAAGTGTCGGCAGAGACATAGAGTAGAGCTCTCTCTCTCTCTCTCTTTCTCTTTTTCATTTTCATTTTCTCGCGATGAAATAGTACTTGTATTTTTCTGCTCGCAATACTCTTTTGTCAGTGATGGGATATAATTTCCCGAATAATAAAAGTGATCAAAAACTGAAGGATTTAGCGTGAAGAATGAGGCAAATCTATTATTCGTTCATTGATTTATTTTAGAAAATTAAGTCATGTTTAAAGTAAAACTTTTAAATTGCGAATTTATATCTTTATCGAATTTTTCATGTATATTATTTGTGAATTATTTTTCGTAACTTTTTGTGGAGATAAATAGAAATTGTTATGTTAGACAATATTAACAATGTTAACAAAAAACATACGCAGAATCTTCAATATTAACTCCTGATTCAGTGGTCGGTTTCACAAATGTTTAACTGTAGAACTGTAGTTTAATTTATTTTATTGGATTTTTATTTTTATTTTAATAAAAAGATATGAATGTATTTTTGTATTTTAATGAAAAGATATGAATCTCTCAAAAGACTGAAATGGCATGCAAAATTCAAGTTGGTTAAATTTTTATTTGTACGTGAATACGATTTATACGCCAAAAAGACTGCGAATTATTAATCAAAAATTTATTTCAATTGTAGATAATACATTTTATCGGTGCAACTAAATCGAAGAATCGGTCGAATTAAAATTAAACAGTATCGGTGAAACAATTTTCATGGCGAAATTACGTGAAGCTTCACCGCTGCCAGCCCTAAATAAATAAACAGCTGTCGTACTTCGCTTGTTTCTCAATGGCAACGATTTATCGCCTCGCCGTCTGTTCTTAAACAATTATCTTCTCAATCCAAAAATAAATTATCTCTCGAAGATACTGAGCATTTCTTGACTTCCGACATTTTCGGTTACAATTTTGAAAACGCAAGATATTAAATGTTTCGTGGTACTTTTCGCTTCAAATACGTAAGATGCTCCGCGTAAGTAGCAGCAACACCGACAATTGCAAAGAACTCTTTCAGAGGCGGCTTCGGCGGACGTAGATGGTAGCGAGATACCGAGTGACGATACAATCGAGGGTTACCACACGACGAAGTTATCCGATATTTCTTCGGCATCCGGCTCGACGTCATCGTCGGACAGAATGGTGGCGTCGACGCAGAGTTTGGAGGATCTGGGCGTCAACCATCCTGCCAATCCTGCGGCGGGTAGCAACGGCGATCGTTCGCAGCAACAACAACAGCAGCAGCAGCAGCAGCAGCAGCAGCAGCAGCAGGAACGGTACGGTCACGCCTACAGATCGTCGGCGCAGACCGCTCAGGACAAGCGGTCACGACTGAGCAACGTGATCAACAATCTGCGCAAGAAGGTGCCGGACGGAGCCGGCAGAGAAGACGCAGACTCGCCGAGGAAAGAGGAAGACGACCGGAATAGCGTCGAGAGGAATCTCGAGACGCTAGAGAAGTACGTGATGACGGTGCTAAACGGCGTGATCAAGGATGACGAAGAGGAGGACAAGAGTAAGAGCGTGGAGAAGATGAAAGAACCGGAAAGGCTGAGGAAGGACGTCGACGAGGAGGAGGATCCGACGAGCACGCCAGTGAAATCTGAGCCGTCGAGCGAAGGCGACATCGAGGCCGCAGTTGTGCCGCAATTGGAGGATGATTCCTCGACGGTCAAAAATGCGGTCGAAAGCGTTGACTCCTCGGAAACTACTGTAGACTGTTCGCATGTAGAAGGAACGACGGAAGAGAGCGTGGAGGATTCGGGGGTGAAAATCAGTCAGGATTCGAAAGAGTCTTCCCCCAGAATAAAGGGAGAATGTTCGGATATCGAAGAGAAAGAATTCTCCGAAGGCGATCGAGACGTTCTGCGGGAGAAGAAGGATAATCGAACGCTGGGCACGATCATAATGGACAGGTTGAGTGAGCACCAGGTCGAGGAGAGAGCAAACGTCGACGACGGCAGAGGGGAAAATCGACGTGACGAGCAGCAGGTCTCGGAAAATACGGAAGCGCGAGCGATCTGTGTCGAATTGCTGGACGATCTGTTGAACGACATATATCGAACGATCGACGAGAACCAGAGGAAGGCTGGGGAGTGCGAGAAGGCGAAGGAGGTCGTCGACACGACCGAGTCGAGAGTGGAGGAGAAGACCAAAGACTCGAACGTCAGCGTTCGGGAGCTATCCATGACGAGTCTGCACTGCAGTTTGCCCTTGGACAAGGTTGCGTCCGTGCTGCAGAACTGTCAGCCGGCCGAGGCGGCGACCTCGCGGCTGCCTTCGGGAGCTCCGCCGACCCCACCGTCGACGCAGAAGTCAAAGTCGTCGACTCCGCCGATCAGACTTCTCTGCCTTTACTGCGACAGGAAGTTTCCGTCCGTGTCTCGGCGACAGCGGCACACGGAGAGAGTGCACCAACTCGGCGGCGGCAGGAAGTCGGAGAGGAACCCTAGAAAATCCTCCCAGAACTGCCAGTACTGCTCGGATAATTGCGCCGACACTCTGGACGCACTGTTTCAACATATGATTGCCAGTCACGGAGACAAGTATCATGCGTGCGTGCAGTGTTCGACAAGATATCCCACTCGGGAAGCTCTGGTGGGACATATGGGCGAGGCGCACGGTGGGAATGCCGAAAAAACCGGTCAGATTCAGGTAAATATCATGGAAAACCGTTGAGTAGTAATGATCTCTATTGTGTGTGCGTGTCGTAGAATAGAATTTTATTTCAGAACACGTGCGTTTCTCGTTTTTTGCGGCAGAATCACTTAAACCTGATCTTCTATTTCTCTTGTTTAACTACTCTTTTATTATTTATTAAATACGTATTTTTTATATTATTTTTTATGTGTATTTTATATTATTTTGTTGCAGATTTATTTTGAAAAATTGTTTTTATTGTTAAGATTATTAGTAAAATGCTTTCTTTTTTAATCTTAATCTATTATTGCATTACGTCTGCATCTTTGTATTTATTTATATTACATAATTGTATTTTATTATCACCGTTACAATTTTTTATAATTTTATTGTATAACAGATTGTCGATAACTGATATTCTTTTTTTGATTCTTTTTTTTTTAGTGATTTAATTTTGTAGTGATTGCTTATAAATTTTAAGATATTTACAACAGTTTTTAATGTTACTTATTTCCTCTATTATTTATATCTTTAAATATTTCGAATACATATTTTATTTTTTTCACATGAATGATTATCAACTGCAACGAGAAACGTCATGACAGTCAGTCATTTCCCGCTGCATATTTTTGTTGCGTTGTGTGATTTTTTTAAAACAAAAAACTGATTGATTACCGTAACATTTTATTTTCTAATATTGTTGCTTTCTGTTTTCTCAGTATTTTTTTTTTTTAAACCTCTCAAGTGAGCACTCTTTTCCCGATTAAATAAACTTAAATAAACCATTTTTTTTTTTAGTTGGAAAAAGTAAAAGAAGGATCGCCCTGTAAAGAATTCTGCAGTCAAAATCTTCGAGAGAAGAAAGTAAACACATCGTCAGTTAGAAGATCGGAAGAGAAAGAAGCAGAGACTCAGAGTGACAGTCGACAATCGGACAGCGGCCGGACGAAACTCATCGCGACACGAGATTCCATTGACAACCCAGCCAGTCCCGAGTTTGACAGTTCCTTCTACAGCAACGTGAGCTGCAACATTCGCGAGAATCTGCTGCACCACTTGGACGGCAAGCTGCAGACGATAAGCAGCGCGTCGTCGCCGTGCACGCCGCCGGTCGCCGCCTCGAGCACAATGACAACGATGGAATTGAAATCGCAACAGCAGCAGCAGCAACCGCAACAGTCGTATTACGAGCACAACGTAAACCAAATCCAATTTCCCATCGACATCTCGCTGACCGCGGCGACGCCGGTGTACAGCAAGGATTATTCGGCCGGCGAGGAGTACGAGAACTCGAGTGAGTTTGCTCGGAAGGCCGGCAAGACCAGTAGCGGCTCGCGGCCGCGCCGAGTCTCCTTCGAGAAGTACAATTTCCCGCGCAAGTACGACGGCAAGGAGCAGTGGACGTGCTCGATTAAGGATCTCAGCAAGTTCGACATCTCCACGCAACTGACGCTCCGAAAGAAGCAACAGCTGATCAAAGAGCGGCTCACCATCAACAGACTGCGCCAGATCCCGCTGTTGCCTACCGAGACCACCGAGGTGTCCCTTCAGGAAGAGGCCGAACCTGCCCTGAAAATGACGGCGGACGATCAGGACGATGCTGATAAAGCCTGCGGAGTCGATGCGACTGCCGCGGCTTCTGACATTGTTCGCTGCGACCTTGGCAAACTGCCTTCGATCGAAGTGAAAGATACCACGGAATCATCTGCCTCTTGTCCAATAAAATCGTCAGTTATCACGGAATTCAATATGGAATTCGCAGACTTTATGAGACTGAGGAGGCGAGAACAGGGTGGCAGCGACGTCGCCAACATCCAGGACATCGTTTACGCGGAGTTGAGTGGCGAATGGTCGCGAACACGGATCTACATTTGCGGCGCTTGCGGTTCCAGACACGTGAGTTTACATTTTTTTAAATAATTAAATTGAATTTAAAGAGATTTAACATTAAAATTATATTTAATATTAAAGAAAAAAAAAATGTGCGATATAGAAATATATTATTCACATAAGATTCTTGCTGAGTGATAAAATTTTGTAAGAAAAAATGCTGTACGCGATTGCGGATGTAGCAAAAATATAAGAAATACAATATAAATATTATGCGAGCTTGTACGCGAGCTTTTAGGACGATTTCAGATATTATCGTCGCATGGCGGACAGTGCATTTCAATTGGTGTGAATGTAGCCTAGATAATCTATCAGGCAGTGTACTTGATCTTTGACATTCGCGATACATTGGTAAGCGCACGCAGCGAGTCGTACAAATCGCCAACTCATTCGTGCAACACTGTTTCCACGGTTTGCTCGTTGAAAGCAGAACGAATAAGTTATGCAACGCTGAATGAGAATAAAATTCGTTTTTGTGTCTCCAAGCTTTGATCATGTAGAAATAACGTTTGTTTACTTTTAGCGTTATTATTACGAGTCATTCATGCGACACGATATTTACCATAAAATTCAAGAAAGAAAAAAAGCAAATAGAGGAAACCATACGCGGTTCGTTTAATCGCATTTACACCGATTGAAATGCAATACCGTGTATTCTTATTGATCGAAATGGAACACAATAACTGTCAATGCGGTCGTAACGATCAGAATTGTTAATATTGTTGCGGAATGTAGGTAACGTTGAGGGATATGGAGGATCACAAGGCTTCCATGCACCCGCGCGTTCTGTGCTCACACTTCGAGCTGACCGGCGATCAGCGTGAGCACTACGAGCACCTGTATTTACCGGGACGAGACGCACCCACCGACGAGGCGCGCGACGCCGATCTCACGGAGACAGTGTGCACCAAGTGCGCCAAGAGTTGCCTGAACATGGCTGAGCTGCATCGGCACATGCTGGAGTGCGGCGGCGATTACGCCTGGCTGCTCGGTCTCACCAATAGCGGTAAGAGAAGGTGCAAATGGCGACCGTTCGGCAGCCGCAGCCGGCGACGGCGTCAGCGCGGCATGAAGAGGAACATACAGAACTCGCAGACGCAACCGCGGATCATCCACGCGGAGAGGCCGAAGGAAAAACAGACGCCGACCGGACCTAGAGTCCGACCGAGCGACCGTAAGAACGAAATTTGTTTTCTCAGACTATACGATGTAAAAGTCAATTCACGAATCCTATTTTTCAGGGATAGATATAAAATATATATATTCTTTTATACACTTCGAAACAGTGATATATTTATGTAAATATGCCTTTGAGATAAGAATTAAAATTTTAAATCTTAACATGTTCCGTGCCGCACTGATTTTATGCAACTTTTCATCTATATTGTAAAATTTACTATATACATTTATAAGATTTGTTATACATAAGATTACAATTATAAGAATTATCAAAAGAAGGAAGTGTAACACACAAAATGCGTTATAAAACAAAAAGTGAGTAAAAAATAGAAAATATTTTATTTTTTACGCGGCACGGAACATGTGTGTGTGTGTTAAATAAACATTTTATCATCTTAAAATTGAATCTTAAAAATTTCAAAGATCTTAAAAAAGAGTTCTTAAATCGTTGCCAATTTGTAGTTTTGCAACTGATTTGTTCGAATTTTTTTTCAGGTGAAAGTATCCAGAAAATGCTAGCCAACCTGCCGGCTAAGAGAACCACGAGAAAAGTTCTGCAGGACAACGCGGCGCGATCTCAGGGCAAACTTCGTAACGTAAGTAATACAGTTATATGAAACAATGATTACCTCACTTCAATAATGTGCTCGGTCGAAATTGGATCGATATTAGAATCGTAAAGGATATTACGCGGACGCCGGTTATAATTACTGGCTGATTCAATTAGGATATCGACAGCATAATATCTATCGTTAATGGGTTCTCTCTGTATAAAGTTTCCGTGATAATATAGTTGAATATTAAAGGCTTTCCGTAATTTCGATGAAAATCATACGTCTTAACATTCTTGAAATCGCTTAATGAAAAGTTATTTTAGAACATTTTCTTCGTTGTCATTAATAATCGTTATTAATGAGTTGTCATTAATCTTTTTTTAATTTGCACGTTAT